GTCTGCAAGTCCTGGGCCCATGTGACAGAACCCACAGTTTCAGGGGACAAAGTGGGGGGGATGATTTTCCACATTGGTGACACAGGGTTGCCACTGAGGCCACAGGAGCCAGGCCTGGGCAGGTGCTCAGTGGGTGTCACAGAACCCATCTTTCTAGGTTTGTGAGAGGCCAGGGTGAGGACAAGGGCTGTGGTCAGCCCTTTTCTGGAACTTTCCTGCTTCTGACATGACAGTCTTGACTTAAAACCAGAATTCTTTTCTGCTCCGCTGGACGCCACAAGTATTTTCATCCCGAGTTACTCAAGTCACTTCTTGACTGTTCAGAAAGTTTCAGAGCGAAAACCTGCCTCTCCTGTGAGATGTGGTTTTGGCAGAGCCTGAGCCTCAGCGGCTTTTGCCTGAGGGGTGAGGTATTTCCTGGGGGAATTCATGGCTGTCCTGGGAGGAGGGAGCCTTGGGCAGATGTCGCAGCAGAGGGCTCAGGATACACAGCCCCTCCTTGGTACTGAGAGGAGGGTTCTGAGGAAGGGCAGAGAATGGAAGGAGAGGCTGTGGGACTGGGAGAGGAATCTGGCTGTGGCTCATGATCCAGGAGGGACCACTCCGAGGAAGTGGCATTGCAGCCAGCTGAGTCTTCAGGCTTGGGGACAATAAACCAAAGCTAGAATGAGGTGAGGGCAGCCAGGCTACAGCACTCTGAGGGGCCAGGGTGAAGGGGCAGGCTGCTGGGAGCAGGGAGGCTGAGCCTCGCGGGGCCGTGCCCACCACGTGAAGGGGCTTGGGTGTTTCTCTTGGACTTTTGCTAGAGAGCACAAAGGAACAGTTGTCAGGGTGAGGAGCAGTGACGGAGCCAAGGTGAGACCTGCTCAGGCCCCGGTAGAGAATGGAAAAGTCAGGGATCAGTGGGAGGCCATGCAGCCTTCCTGGGCCACTGAGGACAAAGGTCTAGACTAGAATGAGACTAGACTAGAAAGGTCTAGACTAGGTGAGGAGGCTGGCAGAGGTGGGGGGAGGATGCTAAGATGCAGGCCTCTGTGGCTGGGGCATTAGATGGAGCTGCTCCCAGGAGGCCATGCACTGTTTCCAGCCTTCCTTGGGCCTCCTAGCCTTTGAAGAAATCTACAGTCTGCAACTCCTGAGGTACCAGATAATATGGGTGGTGGGGCAGTGAGGCAGCCTGGGGTCCAGATGCCCGCAGAGCCTCCGCTTCCGCACTCCACTTCAGTTGCCCCCAGCTACGACAATGGGGCTTCCCCATGGCACTTAACTAGAAGATGTTGGGGCTGTGGGAGGGATCTGTTGACCAAATCTAGAGCCTGGAAACATAAGGTCACACAGAACCCAGGGCAGGGTGTGGATGGGGGCAAGACAGACTCCCTTTCTCCAGTCCGACCCAAGGGCACAAGTTCTTTATTCCTTGTGCTGCTGAGGATAGTGCCCAGGGCCAAGAGTGCTAGGCAGGCACTCTACCCACTGTGCTTACAGGCCTCTGTCCATTTCCTTGTGGTCTTCCTGCTTAGAGTTCATTGTGTTTCAGGCTACATGTCTATTCTATTAGATGTGAATATTTTTTCAGCCATTTAAAATGTTCCTTCTTGTTTGTTTGTTTGTTTGTGTATGTGCCTGGGTGTGCCTGTGGCACAGCATGCATGTGGGGGATTCACGGGGGTCGGTTCCCTTCTAGCATGTGAATCCCAGGGACTGGCTCATCAGTCTTGGGAACAAGCACCTTTACCCTCCAAGCCATGGTGCCAACCTCAGCCATTATTCTTTTTCTTTTTAATCTCCCTCTCATCTTGTGATACTGCAGGTGTCCCTGTGTTCGAACACTGGTTAGCATTCCTGAGGTTCTGTTTGTTCTTTTTACTTTCAGCCTATTGATAATTTTGTATGTAAATCTTTGTGTGTGCATGAGCGTACATGTGCCTCCGTGTGAATGCGGTGCAGTCATGCCACAGTGCACACGTGGAGGCCAGAAGACAGCCTTCTGCCTCCTTCCTTGATACAGGGTCTCTGCTTCCTCACTGGGCACACCAGGGTAGCTGGCTCATAAACTCCCAGGGATGTAAACTCCGAGAGATGGTCGGGTCTCTGCCTTCCCTTGTGTCAGGAATGCGGGGATGAACATGTGCTGCCCTGTCTGGCCTTATGAGGGTCTGGGCATCTAAGCTCAGAGCCTCATGCTTGCATAGCCAACTCAGTGAGAGATCACTGGGCCATCTCCCCAGCCCTCCCATTGCTATGTCTTTAAGGTCACTGGTCTTTCCTTCTTGTATCTTAGTTTGTCTTTGATTTTTATTAAGTATTCAGACAGACATACAGACAGAAAGACAGGAGAAAGATAACTTCAAGACATGGACACTGGATTCTCAAGGGAGGAAGTCATTTGGAGATGTCTCCAATGGCTGTCTGTAAGATCCTTCAGCTTTCTATGACAGTCCTGAAAGAATATAATTTTTAAGTTTTAAATAAACTACAGAGTGAGTTCCAGGACAGTCAGGGCTACACAAAGAAACCCTGTCTCAAAACCAAATAAATAAACAAACTTTAAGTTTAAAAGTTAACTTAAAATACATGTTCTGGTTTACTTATTTTCTTGACTCCCCCTATTAATGGAAGTGTAGGGCGGTGTGTGGAAAGTATGTGGGTGGCATATGTGGGTGGCAGCATGCCATGCGTGTAGAGGTCAGAGGACAACTTGGGAATCAGTTCTCATCTTTCACTGCTTCTGTACCTGCTGGATGTCTACCTGGTCCTTGACATCATAAGGTGAAGCTGGGCATGGTGACACGCGTCTTTAATCCCAGCACTTGAGAGGCAAAGGCAGGCAGCTCTGTGAGTTCCAGGACAGCCAGGGACACACAGAGAAAGCCTGCCTCGAAAAGGAAAAAGAAGAAAGGAATCATGAGTTCAGTGTGGATTCTGGATGAGTGAAGAGTTAACATAGTAAAACCACGGCCCAACATGAACACAGTTTTGCATTCTTAACGTCCTTGTCTGGAATGTCTTCAGGAAAGCGTTGGTGCAGGCGGTCTTTGCTTTGTTGGTTGCACTGAAATTGCTCAAGGTTCAGTCAGCAGGAGAGGCAGCCTGGATCCCAGGGGGCAGAGCTTCTTCCCCTTCTTACCCCTGTTAAATTTCCTAGTCTTTCTCTCTAGCCTTAGTGTAGCTGCAATGATTCATTAAGACACAAAACCAGGGCAGGGAAGGAGTGGGGTCAGCCCCTCAGAGAGGAGAGCTTGGAGAAGCCTCCCTGAGAGCATGAACGGAAGGAGGACAGCAGCAAGGCCTCGTGTGGTGGCTGGAGAACTTTAGGCAAAGGCATGTCGTGGTCTCACTCTATGTTATGAAGTTCTTTGGAGTTCCGTAGAGAAGGGGGCAGTGGCAGGAGGCTGCTGCAGTACTTCAGGCAGAGATGGATGGGAATGATGGAACTAGAGATTCAGGGAGTGGGTTCGCAATGGAGTCTAAAGACAGCACCTTCAGAACTGCCTGCGTGGATTATATGCTTCAGTGGTTAACTCTGAGTCACCAATAATACATCCTTGTCACATTAAGGAATAAAAGCACTTCCCCGTCAAGTATTTTTTTTTCCCCCTGAGACAAGGTTTCTCTGTGTAACAGTCCTAGCTTTTGTGGACCAGGCTGGCCTCGAACACACAGAGATCTACCTGCCTCTGCTTCCCAAGTGCTGAGATTAAAGGTGTGTGCCACCACTACTGCCCCTGGCTTCCCTTCAAGTCTTTCAGCCAAGAGGGAGTCCAGATTTGAATTCTCCAACATGCTCCCTGCTTCTTCTGTCCTTTGTGGGAACCTGTGCCTGCTGAAGAACAAAGCCTTGGGAATCCTTCTGTTCCCGAGTGTGACTATGTAACTGTGCTTTTTGTGTGTTTGTGTCTGTTGTGCGATCTCGTGTGTCTGTTCCCCACAAAGGGCTTCTCTCTGTCCTTATTGAGCAGCACAGGCAGCACCACATGGGGGAGGGATGGGGCGCTTACAGGGATCTTACCCAAAATCATACAAGGATCATGCCACTGCCTTCAGCTGATCCCAACGGACACAGACAATAGTGATACAATAATTTATCAACCAACGTCCATAAATGGATATTCATGTTAGAAAGGCTCTTAAACCTCTGTACTTGCTGCTTTCAGCAAATGACACCCATGTATGATCTGGGACAGGGGCATGGAGAGTACACGATTTAAGATTACAGCTATGTGTTAACTCAGGTGTAAAAGTTGGTTACACAGGAAGTCCAAAGCAAATAAGGTCGGTGGTTTTTGTTTTTGGAAGACTGGGTTTTGGCTGTCCTGGAACTAGTTCTGTAGAGCAGGCTGGCCTCAAACTCAGAGATCCACCTGCCTCTGCCTCCTGAATGCTGGGAAAAGGCATGGGCTACCACCACCTGGCTTGCTACATCAGTGTCTTAGAGGAAGATTAAACAAACAGGCTACATACACAGTGGGATAGCCCTTACTCTTGGTTTTTGAGGTAGGGGCTTATTATGTAGCCCAGGCTGGCCTCGATTCCTTATCCTCTTTATCCTTGGCTTCACCTCTCAAATGCTGGGATTGCAAGTGTGTGCCATGTTGGCTAATCCTGGAAGAAACTCCCCTGTGGAGTGTAGGGTTGGCATCTCTGCATTTTCTGTAACGCTGGACTTTTACTTTTGGACACCTCCTCCGCTGCCATCACCAGCTCTCAATTTCTCGGAGAGTGCACGGCTCTTCTGGTTTTAACCCGTGGGCCTCCTGTTGGGACTTGGCTGTAGTACCGTTGGTGACTGCTGGCCAGACCGCAGGGACATGTCTGGTGGGATTGGGGTTTCCTGTTGCCTCATATACAGCGATATTAGGTTCCAAAAATAAGTGCCCCCAAAAAACCCCACTTTTTTGACCTGGGCCAGGCTGCTTTGTGCACCCTGGGACCTGGTTTGGGTCCCGCTCCCCATCACAGCCATGGGAACCTCAAGTGCATATTCTGCCCCGCCCCTCCAGGCCGTCACTCGCAGAGCCAAAGTGGCTCCCACCAAGAGGATGAGCAGGTTCCTGAAGCACTTCACAGTGGTTGGGGATGACTACCACACATGGAACATCAACTACAAGAAGTGGGAGAATGAAGAGGACGAGGAGGAACCAGCCCCCACATCGGCCCAAGGCGAAGGCAGTGCCGTGGGTGCAGATGCTGAGGCTGGCCCTGTCCCCACACCCAAGCCGACCCTGGACTTTAGGAACAGGCTGAGGAAACTCTTCAGCTTGCACAGGTTTCAGGTAAGAGGGTGAAGTCACCATGTCCCCAAGGTGGGAGCCCCCTCTGCCACTGCCACTCATGCACCCCACGGGTGTTTCTGAGCACCGACCACATGCCATGATCTGACCTGGACTGACAGTGGGGGAGGAGAAATGATAAGAGAGAGAAGGTTAAAGGTCGTCCCGGGGCCTGTTCCTCCAGAGGACAAAGGAGGACACGTGGATGCATGCTGCCTCTTAGAAAGATGACTTGAGTGACAGGCCAGACAGGGAAGGTCCCAGTTGTGTGTGATGCCAGGTAGCTGAACCATCCAGAACACTCACAGCCAGTAAACAGATGGGGCTGTGGGAGGGAGGAAAGAATGGAGGGGGTGGCTGCTTGAGAGAGATGGGATTTCCTTTCGGGGTGGTGAAAGTGCACTGGAAGCAGACAGTGGCGGCTGCAGAGCCGTGCATGCGACTCCACCCACCGCCACAGAGCTTTAGGCAGCCATGAATGGTCACTTTATACCGGTTATTCTCCCATTGGGAATCTGCCTGTGTGTAGTCTCCACGTCCACCGAGAGAAGCCTTCCTTCCACAGTGCCTGTTTCTGGACAAGGCCACGTGGGTTTCCTGACTCCAAACCTCATCACCATGGGGCCTCAGACCCCTGTTTACGGAGAATTAACAAAAACATGTGGGGCTGGGATGATGGTTAAGCGGGTAAGGTGCTTGTGTAAGCATAAAGACCTGAGTCTGGTTCCCCAGCTCCCAGGGGAGAAGTTGGGTGTGTCAGTACATACTGGGAGGCAGGGACAGGCAGCTCCTTGGGGCTCACTGGTCAGTTGGTGAGCCCCAGGTTCCATGAGAGAATTAGGTGAAGAGTTACTGAAGATGCTAATGTGGACTTCCGGCTTCCACATGTGTGCATGGGAGAGTGCATGCACACATACGCGCACACACACTCCACACATGTGCCTGGCTCTCACTGTCACCGCCTCTCTCCGGATTCTGCCATGGGGAGAGGGAAGGAACTTCCTGGCTGAGCTCTGTGGGGGCCATCTATCCCAATCTTGTGAAAGGCAATTTTTCAAAAAGATTTATCATCTTATTTATATATTCATGCACCTTCACAAGTTTATGTGCACCATTTGTGTGCAGGAGCCCTCAGAGGCCGGAGGGCGCCCAGTCCCTGGAGCTGGGGTTCCAGGTGGCTGTGAGCCTGACGTGGGAACTCAACCCAGGTCCTCCGCAAGAGCAGTAAGCATTTTTTTTTTTTTAAGACAGGGTTTCTCTGTAACTTTGGAGCCTGTCCTAGAACTCGCTTTGTAGACCAGGCTAGCCTTGAACTCAAAGAGATCTGTGATCTGCCTGTCTCTGCCTCCTGAGCGCTGGGATTAAAGGCGTGCGCCACCACCGCCTGGCAAGCAGTAAGCATTCTTAGCCACTGAGCCATCTCTCCAGCCCTATGAACAAGGGCAGGCTTCTTAGGTAGCAAGCTGGTGTCCAGAAGCATGGCTGCTCCAGGAAAATGCAAGAGACCAAGGGCATGGGGACAGTCACAGCTCCTGGTGGGTCCAGTGCTACAAAGAGGCATTTCGGTGATGCCACTGGGGGCATCAGAGCCCAAATCCCTTCTGGAAGGAGCAACAGCTCCACTCATTGCTGACACTGTTCTTGGGTAGGGAGGTTATATTGATCTTTTTTTCCCATTTAAAGCAAGCCAACAACCCAGCATCCCTTGCGTTCTGCCAAACCCTCTGACTGCGGCAGGAAACATAGTATTATGTTGTTGGGATTGAAATCCAAACCTGCAATTCAAAGCAAACAGAGGGAGCCAGCTTCCTTCCAGCTGTATAGGGAGCCCTAGGCCCACCCCCTGTAGATGTCCCTGCCTCTGGAAGGGACTCATCCCATCATTCAGTCTGACTCTCAGGCTGGAAAAAAACAGTGACTATCATAAAGGCATTTATCCTCTGAGGGGACAGTGACCCCTCATTTGGTCCCCTGTTGTGGATGGCAGCAAGCTGGACGTGACAGTCTGTGGAGTGGCAGGGATACTCCTTAGCATCATGGCTAGCTGTCTGCTGCAGTGGTGAGGATGAAGTCAAAGAGCTCTGGACAGACAGGGAGTCAAGAGGTCTCCGGTGATTGTCACCTGACACTCAAGCAGAGTAGGCCTCAGGGGTTGAAGGGCATGTTTCAGTTGATCAAGGGACTGGTAAGAAAGGAGACTGTGGCCTACTGAGTTGGAAAGTAGAGGAGGGGGTGTGAGGTTCTTGTGGATAAAGCAGCAAGGTTATTTAATGAGGCAGGGGCTGCTGTGGATGGGCCATGTGGGGGTGGCATGGCTAGACAGGTTGAAGATCTTGGATGGAAGCAAGATGGAATAGGAGGAGTCTTGTCCTCTGCTGGTAGGATCTGCAAGACACAGTGACAGAGCATGCTGTCACTTGTCACATGAGCTGGTATAGTCAAGAGGGAACATGGCTGGGAAGAGACGCCAGAGCAGCGTACTCTGCAAACCTAGCCTCATGTGCCCATCGTTCCTGGGAGTACAGAGTGTGGCCAGCTGAGCTTTGGTTCCAGGGTAGGCTGATGGAACCCTGAAGTTGGCACCCCACAGGGGAGAATATGGGTTAACAAAAGGATGTGACTCCCCTCCCACAAAAAGTAACCAGGTAGAGGGGCAGGTTTGAGGTTTTGCTGATCAGTTCATAGAGGTCAAGCATTAAAATTGTCTTTTCTTGGTTCCTCTCTTTCTCATTTCCAACTTCAGGTGACAGTCACAAGATGTAAAATTAATCTTTTTATTTTGTTTTGTTTTTTGAGACAGGGTTTCTTTGTATAACAGCCCTGGCTGTCCTGGAACTAGCTCTGTCGAGCAGGCTGGCCTCGAGCTCACAGAGACCCATCTGCCTCTACCTTCCAAGTGCTGGGATTAAAGGTGTATGCCACCACTGCCTGGCTAAAATGAATCATTTTTAAGTATTTCTGTGGTGTGTGGTGCACAGAGCACTGTACAGCTCACCACTAGCCAGTTCCCTGTCCATCCTGCCCCACCAGAACCGCAGTTTGCATTGTATCTGTGTTCTGGGGTCACATCATACACGGCCTGAGAGTCGGGTTGCCTGCACTCAGTGTAGCATGTTCACAGCTCATCCCCACAGTAGCACAGGCCCATGCTTCATGCCCTTTGGTAGCTGTGTGGTAAGTCTGATCTCAATACAGTTGGGCTTTGGTTTTAGACCATGTGACTTTGCTAATCCCTGTGGTTCTAAAATAAACAATAAAAAAAAAAAAATCCAGGCTGGGAAGACGATTCTGTCAGTAAAGTGCTTGCTGTCCAAGTCAGAGAACCCAAGTTCTGAACCAGAACCCAGGCTTTAACAGAAGACAGAAGATCCTGGTGTACTAGTGCTGAAGAGAGACAGGAGTCCTGGGGTCGCTGGCTGGTTAGTCTAGTGAGACCATGCCAGCTGGGCGGTGGTGGCCCATGCCTTTAATCCCAACACTTGGCATAGGCAACCTGATCTACAGTGCTAGTTCCAGGACAGCCAGGACAATATAGAGAAACCCTGTCTTGAAAACAAACAAACAAACCAAAAGAATGAGGCCCCCGAGTACCCTGTGGGGAGCTTGGGAACTCCTCTCCCCGAGGGGCCCACAGTCTCTCCTACTCCCTGCCCCTGGGTCTGTTTCTCCAGTACTATCTCTCAAAGCAAATGCCACTCCTAAAAGGCAAATGGGATTTTGTTTTTAAGTTTCATTTTTCTATTTCTGTGGTTTGCTGTTGCTGGGGCACACACAGAGCATGCTCAGTAAGTTATTTAACACATCACTGCCTTGGGACTCTAAGTTCCAGAAGGGCCCCCCCCAAAGGCTACCTGTCCTCGGGGAGTGGAGTGGTAGTGTTATCACCCAGAGGGTGATGTGCCTACCCTGGAGAGTGGGAGGATGGGGAAAGGGGCCAGGATCCCATTCTTAACGTGTTTCCTGGTGGTTCCTGAGAATGAGAGTGGTGCCATCCTGGTCTCATGTCCTCTTGCTCCCCCACCAGGTTGTCATCATCTGCCTAGTGATCCTGGATGCCCTCCTGGTACTTGCTGAGCTCCTTCTGGATCTCAAGATCATTGAGCTAGATGAGAAACACTACGCAGTCAAGGTATGCACACGGCACAAGCACACGTGGTGCGGGTACATAGGTGGTACAGCAGGTACACACCAGCCCCCCAAGTCACGCATGTACACAGCTCAGGTCCATATGCAGCCAGGGCATATATAGGGTGCTGCTAATGGAGTTGTTATCTGCAGGCGGGGGGGGGGGGAGGTGTCGACTGAGTCACTGGATGTTCAGTGCATGTGAACCCGCCCAGCCTTCTCCGGCTCTTTTGTTTCCCTCGGGTATAGGCCTTACTGTGGTGTGTTACAATTTTACACTTTTTGAGCCCACTGTGGTCACTGTGAGCCTCAGTATGACCACAGGAGCTGGATGTCCCTTTGCCTCCTAGCTTCCTTAGCAAGAACCTGGGAACTCCTCAGATACCACTAGTCTTTATTGCTTCCAGTCATCAGCGGTGGAGTAACAGGTACAGGAAGTGCCAGCATCTATCTAGCAGGTCCATCCATCCATCCATCCATCCATAGACAGGGTTTCTCTGTGTAGCCCTGGCTGTCCTCGAACTCACAGAGATCCGCCTGACTCTGGGATTAAAGGTGTGTGCCTTTTATTGGACACTGACATTGTCCCCTCTACAGACTTGGGTTTTGACCATTGTACTGCAGTGACCGACCGATGTGGCTCTGAGCAAGTACGTGCTCAGCCACAGAACATGTCCCTCTCAGTTGGGTGGCTGGGCCAAAGGACACTGGAGAGCTGAGGTGATTTTCTTCAACCCTGGAAAGCACCCATGACAGAGTTGTGGCCACAGCCCATGTTTACTTTTTAGTTAAGACAGTTTCACTCTGGCCTTGGACTCTTGATCTTCCTGCCTCACCTTCCCAAGTCCTGGGTTGACAGTCAGGCCTGGCCAGGGATGTCTAAACATCTCCCAAGGGTGGAAACCTTGTCTCCAGCACTGAGTCATCCTTGGTGACCAGAGACGACGATGCGACAGTCAGTGCTCCTTGCCATTCTGTCCCCTCAGGTGTTCCACTACATGAGCTTTGCCATCCTGGCCTTCTTCATGCTGGAGATTTTCTTTAAAATCTTTGTCTTCCGCTTGGAGTTCTTCCACCATAAGTTTGAGATCCTGGATGCCATTGTGGTGGTGGTGTCGTTCGTCCTCGACCTTGTCCTCCTGTTTAAGAAGCACCAGTTTGAAGCTCTTGGCCTGCTGATCCTGCTGCGGCTCTGGCGGGTGGCCCGGATCATCAATGGTGTGTCTCCTGTGCTCCTAGACTGCATGAGGGTGGGGGTCTGGGCTCTGTGGTCACTACCAAGGTGGCAATCCAGTCACCAGATGCCCGTGATCTCATACCTGGTTTGTATCACGGCTGCTGCCCTTTGGAATCTGGAGAAAAGTAGATGGTAATATTTGGCGCGAGCTGCAGAGCTTGACTGTGCCAAAGTTGTCTCACACTCTGGTCAGGTTTTCATGTTCCCAGAAGGTAGCGTGGTTCATGTTCCCATGGAAGCCCCGGGCAGCACGGGAGGGCATCCTCCAGAAGGGAGGCAGGTGGATGAGCAGCGCTCCGTGCTGGCTGCCCAACCCCAGAGTCCCCTCATGGAGCTCCCCATTTCCCTGAGTTACCACTCCATTGCTGTGTTACCATCCCCTGGCTTCTAGAGAGAACATGAGGAAATCCTGCTCTGCCAGCCTCCAAGCACAATCACTGCCTCTGGTGCACATATCCAAGGAGCAGCGCTTCTGTGAGGCCCTGGCTGGTCGGTGTTGAAACTGTTCAGTCTCCCCAGGAAAGACAGTGTCCACTTTACCAGCAGTTCTGCCGCAGAGGGCGGCGGGGTGGGGGGGTGGGGGTTGTATAGTCAGGGGATCTAGATAGCCAGCCAGCTTGGGAAGCCTGAGGTGAGGGGGTAACAGTGTGGCCCATGTTTCTGGTGGGTGTGCCCTCTGATGGAGCTGTGACCTCAGGAGCTCTGGCTGGCACCTCCTGTCCCACAGCCCATTGGGTACGGCAGAGCTGCACGTAAAGTGGGCTGCTGAGACTTGAGATTGAAGCGGTTACAGCTCAGGCAGCTTAGGTCTAGGGAGAAGAAAAAAAAAGCAAACAAAGAACATTCCTTTGTGTCATGTGGAGACAAAGGTGACAGGCCGGTGACACATGGGGTTTAAATGGATTTATCAAAAAGACAGAGGTAAAAGGTTTATTAAATACACCATAGTGCAGCCACCATTGAGTGGGCTCCAGAGGCTCACTTGGCTGAGTGGAGGTGGAAGCCTCACATTGCAGCTGGGCAGGTGACCTTGTGGTATTCATGGCGCTTATCTGGGTTTGTATCTGAGGGCAGCACTGGTCCTTCTTGAGACTGGCCATGGGTCACTGGGGCTGTGTAAGGTATCCCAAGTTAGCAGGTATGTGCCAACCAGTCAGGGCCATGCTCCAACACAGGGCTCCCTGCTTTACTTTTGGTCTTTTCATCTCCATACTCTGAACTCTGGCCAGGGAAGACAAACAAACAGATTTCAGTTACTCCTGGCTCAGAAATGACAATCTTGCCCTCCTCACTGAGGCTGCCAGTGACAGTTGTCTTGTTCATCTGTCTCTTCACGTCCCAAGTATATACATGAATTAGAATACAAGTCTTGGGGCCGACAAGAAGACTCAGTGGGTAAAGACACTTGCACTAAGCTTGATGACCTGAGTTTAAGCCCTAGGGCCCACAGGATGAAAGAACAAGTTGTCCTCTGACATCCACATGCATCTCCCCTCCACCACGCACACAGCACAATATTAAAGCAAGCTGCTGCACCACAGCCCTCCCCTCCCTTGCAGGCATCGTCATCTCAGTGAAGACACGCTCAGAACGGCAGATCTTAAGGTTAAAGCAGATAAACATTCAACTGGCCACCAAGATCCAGCACCTGGAATTCAGCTGCTCTGAGAAGGTGAGACTTGGGGGACCAGTTCCATGGCTGTCCCCTCCAGCCCACTACTGACCACGCTCCTATAGCCTATAGCTCTGCCTGTTACTCCCTCTTCCTGGTCTTTCTGGCTTAAGCACAGGCTCCTGGAGCCAGGCCCAGTTCCTCCTCTAGGCATCTTGTTCCTGTCATCACTGCTTAGGGCCCTTCCTGGGAACGGCTCCCCTCAGCAGCCAGAATGCCACAGACTGTGGCTCTTAGCTGTCTGTAGCCCCAGGCCTGCAAGAATGTGGTTCAAAGTTCATGGCCCAGTGTGTGTCTGCTTTTACCATAGGAACAAGAAATTGAGAGACTCAACAAGCTGTTGCGACAGAATGGACTGCTTGGGGATGGGAACTAGCCTTCCAGAAGCTCTATCCTAGAGAAGCTGGGTGGTGGCCAGAGAGCAACTGTGTGCTGCCAAGTCCAGTCCTCATCTTTGCCTTGGCTTGCGCTTCCTGGATGCTGGGGACACATCTTTGTCAGCTCTGCTGCCTCTTCGGTGTGACCTAGAGCCACCTGTCCACGCCCTCCTCCTGCAGCAAAGGAATCATAACCACCTTTTCTTAGCCGGACTCTGCTGTTGCTTGAAAATGGACAAGGAAGCTGGGCTTGTAAAACTTAATGCCATTGCTCCTCTGTGTGTGGGGACCAGCACATCCTGAGAAGGACAAAAGCAGGCACCTTGCACCAGCCCATTCTAGAAAACCTTTCTTATCTCCTGCTGCACCCCCTGGGGGAGCCATCCTGGTGCCCAGCCCCTCCTGGGCAGCACCCAGCTGTACCATCAGCTTCAAACTGGCTCTGCACCCACCACATCTCTCTCAATTACTGTGCAATTAATGTATAAAATAAGCGCTCTCCTTCCCCTGGGCCCGCCTACCACATTCTCTCCTTGGTGGCAGCCCACACCAGCCCACCAGTTATAGAGCTAGCTCACTGCAGGGCCCCCAGACTGCCCTGTAATTAACATCATGTTGGGGTACAATGCCCTCGTGGGCACACATTTTTACACAGCCTCTTGCTGGTTTATACTTTTCAAAATGCTGATGGGCATTTTGAAGACAACTCCCGACATAGGGGATAATGTACTGTGGAGGGCTCTCCCTCCCACCTCTTGAGAGGTAATGAGGCCTGTGACCTGTGTGTGCAGGGTGCTGGAACCCTGACCCGACCCCCTCGCCCAGCAGAGTAAGGTTCCTGGGAGGAAAAGGAGGTGGAGGGGGCAGAGTGCTGATTTAAGGGTAATGAGCAACTGGGTTGGTGTCCGCCAGAGCCTTGGGCCTGGGTGCCCACTGCTGCAGAGGGAAGACTGTCAGGGTGGGTACTCACTCCTGCATGTCCACTTGTATCACACAAATGGGAAGAAGAAGCTGAAGGGCAGCCTGGCGTTGATGGTGGGTGGGGCTCGGAAGCCTGCCTCTGCAGGGGCTGACACATCCACAAATGTCACTGTAGTGGAAATGACAATCGTCCTCTCGGGCCCTGCGAGGGGCTGGAATGGAAAGACAGAACTGGCTCGCTCATCATCTCCCTCACTCAGCCACTGTCACTGTCAGCTTGAAGCCAGCAGGTATGCAGAGTCAGCCGGGCACAGTGCAGCCGAGTGCATGGTGCTCCAGGCTGATCCAGCAATAGCAACCGTAGCTCAGTGTTCACAAGAATTGTGATCACAAAGAAAATCCATCAGTGAGTTTTCCCCTCTAAGTACAAGTTAAAGAATGATTTTGAAATTGTTCTAGGAGTCAAAATTACAGTCAGGCACGATGGCACTTGCCCATTAACACTCAGGAGGCTGACACCAAGAGTCACAAGTTTGAGACCAGCCTGGGTTACATGAGAAGATCCTATGTCAAAACACCAAATCCCATCAGGCACAGCAGCACTAGCTAGCTTCCTGTCCCTGAACATGGGAGCTATGATGTGACCCTGTCTTTAAAAAAAAACAAAAAACAAAAAACAAACTACTGAGGGGCTGGAGAGATGGCTCAGAGGTTAAGAGCACTGACTGCTCTTCCAGAGGTCCTGAGTTCGATTCCCAGCAACTACATGGTGGCTCACAGTCATCTGTAATGAGATCTGGTGCCCTCTTCTGGCCAGCAAGCATACATACAGACAGAACACTGTAAATAATAAAATCTTTAAAAAAAATAAACTTTTCCTGTCACACTCACTGTCACCTTGCCTTCTGTCTTCACCTCTCCTTTTATTTTGTTGTGGTTTATTCCTTTCGGTGCAAGGCCGGGGGTTGGCCCTGGCTAATCCCAGGCCTATCATGGGCCACACCCCAGCCCATGGAGACCATTGTCAGAAGGCCTACCTCTGGAATGGAGATGAGCTGGGCTGTGACGTTTACTATCCTGGCTTGGGGGTTCAGCAGAGACCCATACTTAGTCCATTTCACTTCTATACCCAAAGCCACAGGGAGCTGGCAAGGGCCCTGAAAGAGAAAACTAGATTATAACAGAATATCACACAGCCGCAGATCAAACTCAACCTGCAGTTGAGCACTTCAATTATAAAATGTTTGCCATCACAGAGTCTTCGGAACACAAGGGTGAGCTCACAGCTGTGCAGGGCCCTGAGCCGTCACAGCACCCTCCGCTCCCACTACTCTACTACCAGTGAGAAGCAGGGGCCAGCCCCTTCTGTTCCCAAAGAAGTGACTGTTCCTAGTCACTGTGGAGTGGTGGGACCTTTGGGGCCTCTACCAGCCCACATCCACCTCAGAGGAGCATCTGGAAGCTGGTCATAGGGGACAGCAGGGAAGAGACCATGACTGAATGTAACAGAGAGAAGGTGAATTTGATTGTAGCTCATGTTGCATGCTTTTATCTAACTTCATCAACTAGCAGTGAAGATACAACTTGGGGCTGGAGAGAGGGCTCTGCCGTTGAGAGCACTGGGTGCTCTGGGTTCAGTCTCCAGCATCCACAGAGCAGCTCATGATCACCTGTAACTCCAATTCTAGGGGACCTAACACCCTCTTCTAGCCTCTGCAGGCTCTAGGCACCCATATGGTGCACATACATACAAACACTCATATACAGCCCTCAGGAAGCAGAGGCAGACAGCTCTCTGTGAATTTGACACCAGCCTGGTCTACAGAGTTGAATTCTAGGACAGCCAGGGATTGTATACAGAGATACCCTATCTTGAACCTTCCCCGACACCCCCCCCCCATCCCCCAAAACAAGACAAAACAGCATGGGCAGAGTCAGTGTCTGTACATTATCAAAGGTAAGTACAGGGTAGGTATGGTGATTGAATTCAAGGCCAGCCTGGCCTACACAGTGAGTTCCAGGACAACCAGGACTGTATAGAGAGATCCTGTTTCAAACAAACAAAACAAAGGGAACCGCTTCATCTGCATTGAGGGAGCCAGCATGGGGTTATCTGAGCTAAGGCTGGAACCTGGCTCTGTCCTAGGACCTTCGCTTGGACAGTCCCGAGATAAATGGGCATTGGGCCCTCCAGACCATCCTTTTGCTAACTGTAGAACTGCAGAAGCTGCACAGTGGGGAGATGGGGAGCCCACTCTGCTATGGTACTTCCACATATGTTTGACTTTCCACATATATTTTCTCTAAATTCTGTCCTGGCATAAAAAGCTAGCAAACCGCTAAACTGGAGTTAAACTGCCAAGAGCAGTAACGGGATTCCTGAGCTTGCAAGAGCCTTTAGAAACCTTATCCCTGGACCAGCTTGCCAATCTCCCGTTGCTAGGAGAAGTTGCAGGTGCAGTGGGTGTGAACAGCAGATGCCCTGGACCTGCTTCCCCCAGCACTAATGACTGCTGTCTTTACCCGGTGACAGAAAGCCGAGAGCCGCACCCCAGGTTCACTGGTGACTGGCACAGGGGTGAGGCGGTGCTCAGAGTAGGATCTCGTGAGGTTCTTCTCCCCACTGTGCCACTCCTTATAAATATACAAAGCAGATAATGAGAGGCCTGAAGCAGCTGTGACAAGAAATAGCTGAGCAATTAGGGGAGAATGGAGTGCACACCTCCACTGGGGACAGCCCACACTTTGCCACTAAGACAAAAGGAGGAGGTGGGCGGAGGAGTCACGTGTGACCAGGAAGCTATTTGTAGGATGTCAGCTCCCATTAAACTCTTTGGGGAACTTTGGAACTGAAAGAGCTCATGTGTGGGTGGGCTGCCATTCCAGCCCAGAGGGCATGGAATGGAAGTGGCAGAGACAGGAGGTCACATCCCATGTCCCCATGTCACCAGATGTCTTAGGAAGACTTAGTGCATCACTGTTGTCCAAGTTGACCATCCTGGATTTTGGAATATTTGCATAGCCATGATGACTGAGAAATTCATGAGGCTAGACAGAATCCTTGTTCATGTCCACCTCACTCAGTCTAGAGTTAATGGTATCTCACTGGGCCCAAGTTTTGACCGTAACCATTAGGCATTGGTGGTGACATGTTGGCACTAAGAAAGTTTCAGGTTTAGATGTCACATTTTTGGGATAGGGGATTTCTCAACCGCAGTGACTGTGCTGGTCACTCATGCTTCTAGTTTATGAGTGACCACTGTGTCCTGACAACAGCCAAACAAACTTAATCCTCTGAACAGCCCTGTGATGTTTCTGAAGGGCTTTAGTAGCCCTAGCATGGCAAACATGGCTCCGGAAGGCCTTGCCCTCCCCCATTCCCTCTGCCTTGCTAAACTGTTAGATCACATTCGTAAAGCTAGCCACCAAGGGCTATTCCCTTACTTGGCTACTTCCTCCTTCTGAGACTGACTACCAAGGTCCAGCTATCAACGTATTGAAGTCCAGCAGTGAGAAGCCCCTTCTGACTGCCCTAGTTAACAGGCCCAATTAAAACAAATCAACTCATCCAACAACGGGGTTTCCCTTCTTCCCTTTAGAAATTGCTGTCTGCCCATGGGCAATGTCTGTCTCCTCTCTTTCAAGAAGCAGGCCTTTGTCTCTCCAAAGCAAATATCCCTTTCCCATCCCTTGTTCCTTTTCCCTTCTCCCTCTAGTTCCTGTTTTTGTGTCATTCCCTGCCCTTTGACCCTCTGGGGCAGATAAATCTCCTCTGTACTGAGAACCTGGTCTTGTGGTGTCCTGTGCCGACTCTGCTCCTTCAGTTTTCGTGTCACAGGGAAGCAAGCAGAGGCTGAAAACTACTGACTGACAAAGGCATTGTGAAGAAGGGCAGAGTCAGAAAGCCTAGCTTAGCAGCAGCCACCCCACTGCCTCCCCAGTGCCTCCCTCCCCACCTGTGACCCACCTGGCAGAGGAAGACACACTAGCAGGTGGCCAGCAGTCTCTCGCTCTTTACCTTCACATTGGAGGAGTGGGTGACATAACGCACAGGCACCCAGTCCTGCACATCCTGGGCCCCGGAATTCCCAAATGCAGCCACATAGTCAGGGAAGGCCTGGCCTCTCAGTAGGTCCTGAATCTTCTGCGCCAGCAGCTCACAGGGGATGGTGCCTGTCAATCTTTGGGAAGGAAAGAGAGGCCAACTTAGCGAGGCACTGACAAGCTCCAGGACATGTTAAACTCTATACTTCCATCGTTTCTTCCTCTCCAAAAATGATATCATCCAACCTCTGGGGTGGTCCTGACTTTGGGGCATCCTGGTCATGGAGATGACCCCAACAGTTTCCCAGCCTGTATTCCACCATCTCTTTCTCTCTGTACCATGTGCATGGCAAGGACAGTGGCCTTCCCATGTGCTGTCCTCCTGAAGGGCGCTGGCACATGCGAGTTCCACAGGAGGGAACCAGGGTTTATCCTGGGCTGCTGCCCCCTGGCATCCTGTGGGAAGTGTTCAGTGGAACCCTCAGAAGAAATGCTGGTCTGAGATCAGAGCTGGCAATCAAACTATTGACAGAGCCACTCCAAGGATGTGGGGAGGGCATGGATAGAGGGGAAATGAAGGGGACAAATGCATGTGTTTGTACAGAGTAGAAATTCAGCAACAAATTCACAGAACCAAAGATTCAGAAATGACACTGCAGCACTCAGGAGGCTGCGGCAGGACCAGGAGTTTGAGTCAAGCCGGAGCCGTGCAGGGAGACCTCATCTCCCATGTCACATTCCAGTTTTTGTTCAGTGCTTCTCTTATGCTGTAAAATTAAAAATCCAGAAATAGGAAGGACTTTCAAGGGAAATGTTTTCTGCTCAGAACTCAAAAGCTACTTAACCTTAACCACGAAGCACACAAAGCTCTGCCATCTGTCCTCTGCCGTGTTGGAACGGAAAGGCTAGAGCGGTTTTGCTGGTGACGTGGTTAAAACAGGAGAAGGGAGGATGCTCTCTCTGCCGCAGTCACTCTCACCTGAGTTGACAGCCAGATTGTACATTGTAGCCAAACAACACGGGGTCCCGGAGCCCCTCGCTGGCAAGGCAGTCCTGCTCGCCTGTGCTATGAAGAATGGTAAACTGTCCTTGTCTGTTTGTGGTCTGGACAATCCCAGACATTCACAGGTTGTTAAGGGACAGGTAACGGTTCCAGAGCAGCCTGACTGTCCAGGAATAAAATGGCATCACTATATGACATGAGACGCGAGCGAGGTGCAATTCATCCCCTTCTCTGGGCCTCTGGTTGTTCCCAGGAACGGGCAAAAAGACGCCAGTAAATCTTTCTACTGGCTCACCTTCAGAATTAATTCCAACCAGGTGTGGTGGCCGGGCCTGGAATCAAGACACTAAAAAGGCTAAGGAGGGCTGCACATTTGAGGATTCCTGAACTAGAGTGAGCTCAAGACTAGCCAGCTCAACCTGCCAAAGCCTTGTTTCAAAATGAAGAATAAGGAAAGGGCTGAGGTACACACAGCTCAGCGGCAGGGTGCTTTCCTGGTACACACAAGTCCCAAAGAAGACTCTGTGAGTTTGGGGCCAGCCTGGTCTACATGGCGAGCTTCAGGACACAGAGAGATCTCGTCTCAACAAAACAAAAACAAAAGTGAACGAATGGATGAACGAATAGATGCCTCCGGGTGCCCTTGTTTTTTGTTTTGTTTTGTTTTTTTTTCTTTGTTTGTTGCTTTGTTTTGTTTTTTCAAGATAGGGTTTCTCAACATAGTCCTGGCTTTGTAGACTCACAGAGACCCACCTGCCTCTGCCTCCTGAGTGTACCACAACACCCAGCTTAGGTGCCCTTTTAAATTCAGTGTTCTCTTCCCCTAAAGTACCAGTCTCTACTCCACCCAGCCCCACCACATTTCACTAGCTCAGAGGAAGCCCTGGCGAATCAGGTACCTCCCTCCTACAAACTGCCTACAGCATCCTTGGCAGCAAAAGGAAGCACAGCCCATCCATGCAGACAGGGAAGGTGACCTTCTCCACAGATCCAAAAAAGGATACCCCTTCTGAGGCTGAAAGCCAGCGGCCAGCGGGAGTCCCACCCTGTAACCAGGGTTGCCACTGCGAGGAACAGGCTTGGTGTCGTGCTGAAAAGCAAGGTGACATCCTGTGCAGCATTGCTTAGGCACAGCGGGGCAACACAGTGCTCCTTGCAACATCTGGAGGAACAGCGCCCCGTTCTGAAGTATAAATGGATCCCCAAGAGTGGGAGGACAGTGTTCTGTGAGCCCGCAAGGCACGGGACAGCACCCGGCTTCCAGGCAAACTCCACACACCACTGCAAGTGCAGGCTGGGGAGCTGGGTCATGCTTCAAGACTATACCTCCCCCAGAAGTCAGGCTTTCCTTCAACTTGGCAGCCAAATAATTGAACAGAACACTCAAACCTACCTGAATAAAGTGAATCTCAAACTTCTGCTGCAGGAGAGTCACTGTGCTGCTGAATGTCCCCAATACGAGGGAGAGGCCGGCTTCCCGTATCTGGCCTGTGGCTGTGTACCACAGGCTGTACTTCACCTGGAACAGAATGGGGCTCATCAATCTCTGCCCACCACTGCTCAGCAGCCATGTTACTACCTCTGATGAAGCAGTCACAAAAAAGCCACAAGCCCCAACTCTGCTGTCCAATCACATCAGTGATGTGCCCTTAGTGTCCCAGTGGACAGAGCCACCTCAGTCACTCTGTAACCAATTTTTTGATCTTTCAGATCAGCTGACTCAAGCACGATTTGAACAGACTATTTCTGCCGCAGAGATGGTCTAATCAATAAATGGTGGTGACAATAAATTGTTGGGGGGGCAGAGGGTAGTGGTGCACACCTTTAATCCCAGGATTCAGGAGGCAGAGGCGGGAGGATCTCTGTGAGTTTGAGGCCTGCCTGGTCTACAGAGTGAGTTCCAGGACAGGCTACAAAGCTATAGAGAAACCCTATTTCAAAAAACAAAAGACAAAAAAAATTGTGTATGTGTGGCACACATATGTGTGTGTACATCAGTGTGCGTGTGTGTATGTATCCATGCACACACACATAGAGGGCAGAGCATGACACTGGATGTCTTCCTCTGTAACTATTCACCTTACTGCCTTGAGACATAGTCTCTTATTGAACCACAAGCTCTCAATTTCAGCCAAGCTGCCTGGACAGTGCACTCTTGGGCTCTGCCTGTCTGTCCTCCAAAGTTGGGGTTACAGCCAGGTATAGTAGCCATGCTTGGCTTTTTACATGGGTGCTAGGGCTTCAAACTGAGGTCCTTATGCGTGTGAAACAAACATTCTTAATCCCCATCTCCTCAGCCCCTGACAAGGAAGCTTTGCTGTTTCCTTGCAAGGAGCTGGATTTACGGAGACATGTCCTTTGATGAGACCACAGAGCAGCAGGGGCAGCTGGAGCTCAGACCAAGAAGCGCCATCACGGTATGGGCCAGAGTTTTCCCTGGAGACCAACACGCTGGACACCTACCTCGAGAACAACATTGCTGCAGAGTCTATCTTGCCCAGTGCTGACCAGGGATGGCTGCAGGATGCCATGGCCTTCTAACGGGGTCAGCGTGTGATTGAGAGACCGATACAGGACAGACTGCATCTTAATGGAGACCTGGGAGGGAAGATAGCCTCGGTTATGAGGCCACTACAGGCTACATATAGCACAGGCGACTCTTACAACAACCAAAGCCTAAAATGAACCTTAAGTGACAATAATGCAAAGTACAGGACATGCACACTGCCATGCCCTGTGCATGCTGCGGATATTTCCATGTAAACACACACACAGACAAGGTCAGAGAAAATTTGGAGAGCAGTGTTCTAAGATCCTATTCATTACAGAGATGGAAATAGCCCAAGAGTCCATTTCCACAAGGAACGCTATTCACCCATAAAAAATCAAATCCCAAAACATGCTACCACATGGGTGAGTCTTGAAAGCATCAAGTGAAAGAACCCAGACACCAAAGGTCACACATACTGCAGACTCCACTAAACATGGATTGTCCGCACAGACGAATCCACAGAAACCAATGTGGTTGTCATAAACCAGAGCAAACTGCCGAGTGACACCTAAGGGATACGGGGATTCTTAGGGGTGATGAAAACATCCTGGGGTTAGACTGCAGTACTAAATGCCACAGAATTGGTCAGAACCCCAGTTTCAGCAACCCCTTGCCTCAGGAGATAGACCTCACAGGCACCTCATACAGTTGCTGGCGAGGTAGGCAGCAGGTTTGAGAAAAGATAGAGCCACACAAACTTTAAGGGACGTTTGTCACTGTGACCAACCCCAGAAGAGTGATGAAGTGACAAGCAATCCCCTGAAGACAGCCCAGCCACTTCTGACAGGATGCTCCACTTCAGTTCCTGGAAGCCTGTCTGAGAAGATGCCCAGAACACTTGCTCTTTACACTGTCTTCAGTTAACGCAAAGATGTTTCTAACTTAAACTGGCAAGTGCCCGAGCTGTCACTTTAGAAATAAAGATGCAGTCTTTACACACCTGCTCCCATGACCAAGGCAACCTACAACTGTCCTTCCAGGTCAGATCACTCGCTCCCATGCAGACACAGTGTGGGGACATGGGTGACAGAAAAAGAATAAGGCAATCTCCACAACTGTCTGCCTACCAAGCTGCCCCAGCAGCTTGACTCTGTGACTTACAGATGCCATGGTGACTGGGCCAGTTTCTAGAGGCTGGAAGGACGTCACAGAAAGGCCTGACATATATTTTCTTTGTTTTGTTTAAGAACAGGATCTCACTGTATGGCCCTGGCTGGCCTGGAACTCTCTATGTCAGCCATACTGGCCTTGAACTCACAGAGATCTGCCTGTCTCTGCCTTTCAATTAATGGGATTAAAGCCATTTACTTCTATGCCTGGGTAAACATAAATCTTAAAAAAAAAAAAGTGGATGACTTGAGGAATGTAATACTCACGGGTTGACCCCTGGACAAAAACATCTGCACACACATGTACACACATATGCACATCCCCACCCCCAAAGAGACAAAGAATGAGAAAGAGAGAAAGAGAGACAGAGATAGAGTAAAATGCTTTTACCTGTGTCGTTGAATTAGGCACCTAGACAAAAATAAACCACAATAAACTTAGTTAGGCACAAGAAATAGGTGCATTTCTACAGTCATTTCAGGCTTCAGCTAAAAGCTACTGTCATCCATTAGAGTTATCACTAAGACAACAGCAATCTCTCCACTTAGGACTGGTCCTCTCCTGCTCCTATCTATGTGCCAGTCACCGTATTTCCTTCTACAACCTTGTCCTTCCCATGAGAAGCACCATTCCAGAGGCCTGCCTGCTTGGTGTCACTACTCCGTACTGCCTCACGGCCCTGCTGCTTCTGAGAGCCCACATTTTTTGGTGCCCACAAGACTGTTAACACCACAGGCACTAAACATCAGACTTACAAAGCTGTTCGCAGTCACACAAAACCTGGCCTTGGTCGGCTGTTATCAAGGTGTATGAAGCGAATTTTAAAACTGAATAAAAACAAGATACAACACAAGTATGTACAAGCTTCATAAAGATCATTTCAACAAGGGCTGGAGAGATGGCTCAGAGGGGAGAGCACTGGCTGCTCTTCCAGAGGTCCTGAGTTCGATTCCCAGCTCACAACCATCTGTGATGGGATCCAATGCCCTTTTCTGGTGTGTAGATGTACATGTAGACGGAGCACTCATATACATAAAATGGATACATAAATCTTTTTTTTTTTTTTAAAGATCACTTCAGCAGCCACTGTCGCCATAGTGCTAGAGAACACAAGCGCCCACCCAGGTCAAGCACGTGCTGAGATCACTCTGCATCTTTGAGGGTGTGAAGACCAGAACACAGACAGAGCTGTGCTCCAGCTGATCCTTACCCTCAGGATGGCAGGGCTGCTGTAATGAGCCATGCTGAGGGCTTCCATTCGTTCACACTCTTCTATGTCCACCCTTCTGCTGCATTTGAAGACCTGGCTCACCAGGAATGCTGGAGAAGGTGACATCCGGGGTAGGGGTGGGAGAGGGGGAATACAGACATGTTTAGCTAATAAATGGGAACAAAAACTTTATAAAAGCCAAAATAATCTACAACACAAATGCAGTATGTTTAAAATAGGGCTTGACAACTGGGTTTCAACTAGGAAATAGACGCACAAAATATTCTAAACTTAAAAGATACAAAAGATACTAAACAGTGTCTCCCCCAATTCTGTCCCCCACCCAGGTCCCTGCCCAAGGGAGTGTCGTGCCTGCCTGCTGAAGCTTTCAGAGATACTATGCAAATAAAACACATACGTAAAAGGTTTTTTTAAAAAACAATTATTTCCCCCTTTTGGACACAGCTGCGCACACGATGCACTAAACTGTGCATTTTTTCCATGAGCAATGAATGCATCCTGAAGACTCTGCAGCAGCCGTGAAGAGATAATTAGTGTTCTCTTGTGGATGTGGCATAATTACTCCCTAGCTCCCTGCTAATGACCACTGCAGTTGTCTCTGCCTTGGCTGTCGCTGTCACAGTCTGCATGGAGCTTTTGTATGTGGGCCAAGCCTTCTTGCAGGAGCTTCACTAATTTTGATTCATATGTTATACCGCCCTGGGCAGGGTGGGACCAACTGTTCCGCCAGCTCCTACAGCAGAGTATCTGTTCCACAGCTTCAAACTCCCTGAGCTTTGTCACTCTGAAAAGTGGAAATAGCTTCTTAGTCGACTTGTTTGCTTTTTGAGACAAGATCTCACTCTGTAGCTCAGGCAGGCCTCAAACTGGTCATCCTCCCTCCATCACCCAAGAGGCATGCTGCCTCACCAGGCTTCGGCTGGTTTTAACTGGCCTTGACCTACTTGTGCAGAGAAGCTTCTCATCAGCACTTGTTAGTCAGTCATTCATCACAGTTGCTCACAGTCGGCTGAGGGTTACAGAGCCACGGCTTCAGCCTTCTTTTGCCCAGGCTCTAGGCCTTGGCTTCTCTGCTCTCCTGGAAGAAGTGGTTCTTACCCAGGCCCCTGAGCACAACGGTCTCAGTGCTCCCACTGTGAGACTCAGCTAAAGAAATCCTACACAAGCAGGCATGGGGTGCACACTTGGAATCCCAGAACTGGGGAGACAAAGTTGGAAAGACCAGGATGAGATACACCAAAAGACCCTGACTCAGAAAACAAGCGAGAGTCAGACATGGTGGCATGTGACTTTAATTCCAGCATTGGAAGGCACAGGGAGGCACAGAGGCAGGTAGGTCTTTGTGAGCTCAAGGTCAGCCTGACACATCAAGTTCTGAGCCAGCTGGGGCTACGTAGAGACACCATCTCAAAAACTAAAAACAAACAAACAAACAAACACAAATGAAAAGAAACTGAAAACCTCACCACTGAACCTTTTGGGGGAAAAAAACCCTAGCAATGTTAGCATGGCTTCAAGGGATACTGTGAAAACAATTTTAATTTTTTTTTATTACATTTGACTTATGGGTGGGTGGCTACCTGATAGACACAGCACACGGCTGGAGGGCAGAGGGCACCTGATAGACACAGCACACGGCTGGAAGGCAGAGGGCACCTGATAGACACAGCACACGGCTGGAGGGCAGAGGGCACCTGATAGACACAGCACACGGCTGGAGGGCAGAGGGCACCTGATAGACACAGCACACGGCTGGAGGGCAGAGGGTAGCCTGAGGAAGTCAACTCCCTCCCTCCACTCCATGAGTCACAGGAATAAAACCCCAAATTGTCAGGCCTTTTAGCAAGCACCTTTGCCTGTTAGGCCATGTTCCTGGCCCCTGGGTTAAGGTTAACCGGAGGAATCAGCCTCATGCAGCATGGCGACCAGCACACATAAGAACTTAAACAAATGCTGTAGAGATCTGTAATCCCCGAAATGTGTACCCGCATGTCACTGTTTCCAGATGCTTACCGCAGGGTTCAGGCAGTCACTGACCAGGGTAGAAAGGACCTCTTCAGGCAGGCAACCTTCGAGGCCTTTCTACCTGAAGAGTCTTTAGGCTATGAAGCCTGTTTAACTGGCAAGCTGAAGTGACTGACAGGAAGAGCAGGGGCACTCTCTTACCTGCAGGGTTCTCATCTGTGCACAGAGATGACGTGAGAGGCGAAGGCAGTCTAAGAAATGAACCTGAAGATGTGCCTGCAGTCTGCAGAGGAACACCGTACTGCAAACACAGAGCACACAGGTAAGACAAGGTGTTCCTTCAGCATGTGCTGGACACATGGCAGTGCCCACAGAGCTGTGGGTTTGGGGACACAATGCTGAGCACAGTCTCTGCCACCCAGGGCTCATCCTCAGCTGTCAACCACACACAAACACACCTTTTTAAAATAAATTTTAAGCTTCATGTGGTGGTGTACATCTTTAATCCCAGCACTCAGGAGCAGAAGCAGATGGGTCTTTATGAGTTTAAAGCCAGCCTGGTCTAGAGAGTCTCAGGCCAGCCCAGGCTGCACAGCTAAAGCTTGTGTGTGACAGTTTCCTCCAAGACTGAGACATTCTGCCCTGTAGGGAAGCTCCTTAAGCAGGAAGGTAAACAACTCTAAGGAATTTCAGGAAATCCCTGAAATTGACCAGATTCACTAGGCCCCTCTCTGCCAGAGTAAGCAATAAAAGCTGAGAGTCCCTCCGAGGCTAAATGGACAGAGCTGCAAAGGAGACTCTCAAACCAGTCAGCAACCTGGGAGAAGCAGAAACTAGCTAAGTTATGAGGAAGAGGCTTAGATCAGTGATTCTCAACCTGGAAGTTGAATGACTCTTCCACAGGTATTCCCTAAGACCATCCTGCATATCAATATTTACATTACCATTCATAACAGTAGCAAAATCACAGTTCTGAAGTAGCAACAAAAATAATTTTATGGTTGGAGTCACCACAACATAAGGAACTGTATTAAAGGGCCACAACACTGGAAAATTGAGAACCACTGCGCTAGCCCCTTAAATTTTCATGTATGTATGTATGTATGTATGTATGTATGTATCTATCTATCTATCTATCTATCTATCTATCTAGAGATGATGTCTTACTATGATGCCCAGGCTGGTCTTGAACTCCTCTAAGGCTCAAAGGGCTCAAGTGGTCCTCTTGACTCAGCCTCCCAAATGATGGGATTAAAGTTGTTTAAGGCAGGTGTGATGGTCCATGCCTTTAACCCAGGTTTAACTATATCCTCTCCTACTTGGGAGGCAGAGGCAGGCAGATGTCTGTAAATTAGAGGTCAGCCTGGTCCACATAGGAAATTCTAGGTGAACCACAGCTACATAGTGAGATCCTACCTCAAGTAAATAGAGGCTAAAAAGAACATGTGCACCTGTGTGTGCCTGCCACTCTAGTGTCCCCTGTTTCATTATGGAATGCCCCTTGGCATAGGATGAGAAGCTGAAGTAGTGTTTCCCTCCGTGGACAGGAATCGGATGGCTGAGCACAGGTGTGAACAAATCACTGTTCAGTAACATTCATTTAAATGGCAGTGGTGATACTCATTAAAATCTTACAAGATTTTGTGTGTGTGGATGTGGGAGAGGGACCCATGAAGGTCAGAGGTCAACTGGATGTCTTCATCGATTGCTCTTCACCTGTTTTTTTTTTTAAATATTTATTTATTTATTATGTATACAATATTCTTGTCTGTGTGTCTGCCTGCAGGCCAGAAGAGGGCATCAGATCTCATTTCAGATGGTTGTGAGCCACCATGTGGTTGCTGGGAATTGAACTCAGGACCTTTGGAAGAGCAGGCAATGCTCTTAACCGCTGAGCCATCTCTCCAGCCCTTCACCTGTTTTTAAGACAAAGTCTGCTTGCATCTGCTAAGAAAGGATGGTGGGGCAGATGCTAAGAGTACAGTGTCTTTGTAGAGGACCCAGTTCAGTTTCTAACCTGCCCCCATCAGGCAGTTCACAACCACCTATAACTCAGCTCCCTCTCCTGGCCTCCACAGGCACTACATTCACTTGCACATGTCTCCCCCAACATAATTCTCCCTGTGCTATGGCGAACACCTTTGATCCCAACACTCAAAGGCAGAAGCAGGCAGATCTCTATGAGTTTGAAGCTAGCCTGATCGACATAGCAAGGTCTAGTACAGTCAAGGCTATAGAGTGAGACCCTATCTCAAAATAAAAAAATAGGAACACATAATTAATGTTTCTAATTAAGAAAAAAAGGATGGATAGTGGCTGGCGTACTCTTCCGCTCAGGAAGTAGAGACGGGAAGATTATCATTTCAAGGACCAACTGAACATACAGTGAAAATCAAAGAAGAAAAACTAAAAACATATAGAAGGGCTGGGGCTGGGGTGCTGGGATCCATGAGCAGAATGGTTCCAGCCCCAGTGCTGCCAAGACTGGAATGGTGGAACACACACAAGGCAGGTTTGTCAAGATGCTCTGACACTGCACAGCTGTTCCCTGCACCCGTTTCTCTCAGTTTAGTGGGATAGCAGTGAGTTCTTCCCAGGCTGTATTCGGTAATGCTGGGAAAGCCCCCCACAGTGCCCACATGCAGGGAATGCTCAGAGAACAGTAACTGGCCTTCATATTGACATGGCAAGACACAAAGGTTATCGCAGAAAAACAGAGAGCTTTCTAGAACAACGTGGCCATGAACCCCGCTTCTACAACTATGTACAAATTTTGTAGATACAGACCAGGATGAACATGGGCCAGCCTTTTTACAAAGGTTTGCAATGTAGACTTTTTTTTCTTGTGGGGAAGGGCAGAGCAGGTGGGATTGACACCACGGCCTGGAGTACACTAAGCATGCACTCTACCGATGAGAGCCTTCCATCTTTACTGAGGCTCCTCTGCTGTTTCCCACTCCAACTAGTCCATATTAGACTTTCCTTTCCCAAGGATGCTTGTGAAAAGGTTATTTTTGCCCTTCCTTTTCCATACACATGTGTGTATATGATTTAATTGTTTGTATGTGCATGGGCACGCGCATGTGTGTGTCTGTGTGTCTGCACGAGCACATGGATACATGGGCAAATAAATGGAGGCTTAAGGTTGATATCAGGCAGCATTTTCAGCCATTCAACTACATTATTCAATGAAGCAAGGTCTCTCAATTAAACCCTGAGCATGCGGATAGAGTTAGTCTGTAGCCAGCTTTCTCCTGGAGATTCCATCCACCTTTCGATGCTGACCTCCTGAAGCATTTACGAGGACAGTGGAGATCCAAACACCTGTCTTTGTGCTGTGGCTCAAGCACCTAACCACTTAGTTATCTCAACACCCTCTTGTTTTGTTCTGAGGCAGGGTTTCATGTAGCTCGGGCTGCTTTAAATTTCAACTCCTGCTTCTCCTGCCTCCACCTCCCAACGGCTGAGATTATAGGTGGGCACCAGAATAGATCTAATCTACATGGAAAGTAGAAAAAGACGAGATCTCCCGAGTAAATTGGGAGCATGGGGACCTTGGGGGAGGGTTGAAGGGGAGAGGAAAGGCAGGGAAGGGAGAAGAGAAAAATGTGGAGCTCAATAAAAATCAATGAAAAAAGTACATGCATCATTAATGGGTCATATTTTACTGGTTTGCTAATGAAGGGATATATAAAATAGCACACAGCTTCCTAATATCTGTAAAACAAAATATGATCCTGAGACGAGGACCTGGCACCCAGGCAGTCCACTCCCCATGCCCAGAGGCAGGCTTCAATCAGTTTGCTATGATCTCTTGGGCTGAAAAGAACAGAAAATTTTGTGACATAAAATTCAGCCACAGAGCCAGGCAGTGGTGGAACGCACCTTTAATCCCATCCCTCGGGAGGCAGAGGCAGATGGATCTCTGGGAGTTCAAGGCCAGTCTAGTCTACAGAGTGAGTTCCAAGACAGCCAGAGCTGTTACACAGAGAAACCCTGTTTTGAAACAAACAAAAAGAAAAGAAAAGAAAAGAAAAGAAAAGAAAAGAAAAATTCAACTGCAGAAGTGGCCTCAAATCCTGGGTTCAGAATTTGAACACTCACTTGGCTTCCCATGGTCTCTGAGAGGAGCAGCAGTGGCTCTGTGGTGGCAGCTATGCCCCAAGGGCTGGCAGTCTGGCATTCTATCTGACACTGAAATTAGCTGATATTTCAGGATGTGTGACAGACTTCAATCACGTTGTTGGCTCACCTCGTATTTAGTGGTCTGTGGGGCATCTGAGGTGGCTGTAGAAGGACCGTCGGATGTGGCACTCAGCGTAAAGCCACCGGATGCTTGTGTCAGTCTGTCGAAATTGTCTTCATTCGGCACTTCTGGATTAGCAAAGGACAGAGCAGGCTTGTCTGTTTTTAGGCAAAGCATTGAAAATCAGCAGAAATGTATGGAGTATGTGACATCCCTACTTTAGAAACCCATTCTTAGTAGCAACAAAACCGATGTTAAAAGCAGTGCGGTGGTGGTGCACACCTTTAATTCCAGCACGTGGTAGGCAGAGGCAGGCAAATTCCTGAGTCCATTAGAGGCCAGCCTGGTCTACAAAGCTAGTTCAACAACAGTCAGGGCTACAAAGAGAAACCCTGTCTCAAAAATCAAAACAAAAAGGCTGATATAATAAAAGGTTTTCTAGACTTTCTTCATGGCTCAGTAAATAAAGGCACTTGTCGCCAGACCTGACAAACTGAGTTGGATCCCAGGACCCAGATAGTGGAAAGAGAGAACTAACTCTAGAAAAGACACCCTCTAACCTATGCACGCATGCATGCATGTGCACACACATAAATAAATGTAGTTTTCAATGTTTTCTTATCAGGTGGTAGTGGCACAAGTCTTTAGTCCCAGCACAGGCAGAGGCAGGTGGGTCTGAGTTCAAGGTCCATATAGTGAGTTCCAGGATCTAGGTTACATAGAAAAACCCTATCTTAAAAGAAATAAAAAGTTTTCTTTTATATTTGCCTCGCCTGGGATTTCCTTCCTTCCTTCCTTCCTTCCTCCCTTCCTTCCTTCCTTCCTTTCTTTCTTTCTTTCTTTCTTTCTTTTGAGACAGGGTTTTTCTGTGTAGCTTTGGAGCCTGTCCTTACACTCGCTCAGTAGACCAGGCTGGCCTTAAATTCACAGAGATCCGCCTGTCTCTGCCTCCCAAGTGCTGTGATCCCAAGATGTACCACCACCGCCCAGCATCTCCCAGGATTTAAGGCTTCTTAAATGAATAGGATCCCTACCATCATGGCTTTAAGACCATCCTTGTCTATATGATGAGTTCCAGGCCAAGACCCTGTCTTGAAAAATCAATAAGTAAACAAACAGGATCACTAGACGTGGCTGCATCTAACAGTGTGGTTGGTCTGCAAGAAACAACACAGCAGAAACCAAGGGACAGAGCTGGTCACTTTCTCCAGCACACAGACAAGTGTCTGCTTGTTACCCCCTCCTGGGGACATTCTCTCTGGGTGGCTGTGGGAAGATAAGACTTATTCATCGCATGAAGGGTGAGGAAGAGGCAGGCTCTGTGTCCATTAGGCTGCTGTTATGGCTTAAACATGGTCACTGGCTGTTATGGTCACTGTCAATTGTCATGTAGGGCAAATCACAGCACAATCCCCCCAAGTCTTTATGCACGAGGGAACAAATCCCAAATAGGGAAAGACTTGGACTGAGATAATGAAGTTTAACTGACAGAGCCATGAGTGTGCCTGTGCTCTTTGATAGCCTGAGAACAGCACACCCTCAGGAGCAAATCTCTGCCTAGGCTGAGTGCTCAGGTAAAAATAAAGATCCTGTATTCATGCAAATATTCTGAGTAAAAATAAAAAAGAAAAGGGAAATGGAAACCACAGGTAACATTTAAAGATGAAACTGATTCTCAACTATTACTCCAAGAGGAAATAAACGTGCACACACATACACGTGCACACACACACATGCATGCATGCACACACACAACCTGGATTCCCATGGCTACTTGGCATAAACATCTTTGAAGTCAAGTGTGAGATAAAGACAGCGACAGCACAAGGAGTTGAAGACAGTTACCTGTGAATCAGCCTCCAGCCTTGAATTATTCACACAGCCAAAACACAGAATGGGTGCTTTAAATGGAACTGAATGAGGTGTTTTCCCAAAAAGCAACTTTTAAAAGAAAAACAGGGCTTCACAAAATCTATCAAATTCAAATACTTACAGTTTGAAATATGGATGCAGAAGATGGAAGGGTTGATCTGGTCAATGAGTTTAAAGACCCGGTGAGGAGGGTCTGCTGTCAAATTCATTGAGTAGACAGCTGCCTTCTGACTACAAAACTGTCTATCACCCCTGAGAGGGAAAGAAAACAACAGCAAGTTTTCAGTCCACAATCTCAGCCAGATCACCCTCAATCTTCCAGAGGCTGTTACTACCCTAAGAAGGACCACAAGGGCACTGATGAAGTCTGATGTCCAAACAGGATCCATTTGTATCTATTTGCTGTTAGAGTGTGGCACTGAAGCTTTTCTCTCTAACAGAAAGAGGACATGCAGAATAACTCCTGCCAAGCATGTGGTGCATACCTTTATTTCCAGCACTGGGGTGGTATAGACAAATGGGTCTGTGAGTTCAGGTCTACACGGCAGTTCTACATTGGTCAGAGCTACACAGTGAGACTCTATCTCAAAAATATAATAACAACAACATCAATAACATTTAAGGGAAGGCTGCTGGGTGTGGAATATAGTGCAGAGCACTTTTCCATAAACTTGGTCAGTGTTAAGATTATGATATTTTGGGAGCTGGAGAGGTGGCTCAGTGATTAAGCATTTCCTGCCCTTATAGAGAACCTAGGTTCAGATCCCAAAACCCACATCAAGGCAGCTCATGCCTGCAACTCCAATTCCAGGGGATATGATGCTCTCTTCTGGATTCTGTGAGCACCGCATGCATCTAGTGCACATAGCACACACATGCACACACATATATAAATCAAATAAATATAAAAATATTCTAGAAAGTTTTAAAAGTATTTTTACTATATTAGTCTGGTGTGTATTTGTGAATATATGTGTGTGTGTGGTTCTTTTTCACAAGCAAATGTGTGGAAAACAGAGGACAATTTATATGAGTTGTTCTCCTTCTACTATGTAGTATGGAGGTGCTAGAGATCAAGCTCAGGCCGGCAGGCTTGGTAGGAAGCACCTTGACCCACTGAGACATCCTGCCCTACTCTCTTGCCCATTCTTCTCTATCTCAGCAAACTGTTCAGCCTATGCCACAGCCTAGAATACCTATCCACAAACTTATGTTGCCCAACTTGTACTTGTCACTCAGGACTTAACACCGCTTGGACCATCTTTTCTAGAAAGCCTTCCCTGGCCTGAGTGTTCCGGCATCTGGTGTTCCTCGGGGCCCTGTCTCATTCACCCCTCTCCCTCATCTAACAGTAAGCTCTTAAAAGCAGCATGACAAACTCTGCTTCATGTCTCTAGGCTAGTAGGAGGTGCTCAAAAAGGCACAGAAGGTGGCCAAGTGTGGAGTACCTGCCTAGCTGGTGCCAGGCCCTGCTGCCTTCCTGCCCCCTCCCACCCTGGTGTCTGCTGAAAGGTGACAAGGCAGAGGTCACACCAGGACTCTACTCACTTAGTCAGCTGGTGTGTGTTACCAGAGACCACACACACCTAGTGTCTTGCACGTGCTAGGCCAGCACTCTTCCACTAAGCAGTGTTCCTGCCAGTCAAGACAGTTTAATGAAAGCCCACTACATGGTATCAGCTGGGCTGGCACTGACAGCACCTATAATAGATACTCCTGTGCTCACGAAGGTCCCATCTGATGAGGGATGGATTCACTCAGGATGCCCACCAAGTCATTATATGACAGGAGGAGTTGTTGGCAGTAAAACATAATGAAACCTTTATGAACTGAAGCCTATATAATGGGGCACTCTACAAACTAGCATATGACTTTTGCTATTTTTTTCTTTCGATTTTAGAGATAAGGTCTCCCTATAATTGTCCAGGCTATTTTCCAACACCAGAGCTCAAATGACCCTCCTGACCCAGACATCCCCAAGAAGTTAAGGCTACAGTAGAGTTTAATTTGGTTCATATTTGGGGGGGAGGTTGTAAGTTTTAAAAAACTGAAGTCTTTTCCTGAAATATTTAACCCTAACCCTTGTAGCTGTTTTTTGTTTGTTTGTTTGTTTTATAAGGAAAATTCTTTTGGGGGGGCCTACCACCCAGCTCCCAGTAAATACATGGTGACTTATTCTTTCTCATGAATGCCTGATCCTCATTAGGCTTGTTTCTAGACAGCTTTTCTTAACTTAAATCAGTCTGTCTACCTTTTGCCTCTGGGCTTTTTACCTTCCTTTATTCTATATATCTTTTCCCCTTCTTACTCTGTGGCTGGCCATGTGGCTGGCCCCTGATGCCCTCCTCTCTCTTCTTCTCCTTCTCTCCTCTCCTCCCTTCCCCTCCCATCTCCTCTTCTCTTTATTCTCTCTGTCTGGCAGCCCCACCTATCCCTCTCTGCTGCCTAGCTATTGGCTGTTCAGCTCTTTATTAAACCAATCAAATGTTTTAGACAGGCAAAGTAACACAGCTTTGCAGAGTTAAACAAATGTAACATAATGCAAATCTTTGCATCATTAAACAAATATTCCACAGCTTTAATGAATGTAACACATCTTAAACTAATACTCCACAACAAACTCTCAAGTCTACAAATGCAGTCTGTTTTTATAAAGCTTCACACAACACAGGCCCACCTGCTCATTTCCATATCAGTGGCAGCTTTTGCTCAGCTGCAACAGACACCCAAGTGACTTGCACAAACCAACACGCTACCTGGTTGGTCCTCAAAGCTTGCCATCTTCTGTTCTAAAAACTATTGTTTACATCTAGAATTACCATATTTGGGGGTCAGCAAGATGGCTCATAGGGTAAAGGTCCCTGCTGCCAAGTCTGATGACCTGAGCTTGACCCCTGAGACCCACATGATGGAAGGAGAAAACTGACTCCCGAAAGTTGTTCTCTGACCTCCACATGAGCACCAAAGTATGAACACACACACAAAAAAAGTAAATAAAAAGGTAACTTTAAAAAGTTATACAGGGGCTGGGTGTTATGACATATGCCCTTAATCCCAGCACTCAAGAGGCAAGGGCAGGCAGACCTCTGAGTTCAATGTCAGCCTGGTCTATAGAGTTCCAGGACAGCCAGGGCTGCATAAAGAGACCCTTTCTCAGAAACTTAAGGGGGCCAGAATGGTGACTCATCAGTTAGTGAAAAGTATGTACTGCTCTTGAAGAAGACCTGAGTTCGGGTCCCTGTACCCATGTTGGGTGGCTCACAACCTCCTATGACTCCAGGTTCAGGGATCCAATACTCTCTTCTGGCCTCAGCAGGCAACTATACTCATGTGCATTAACGCCCCCCTCCACCTAAGACACACATCCATACACATAATTAAAAATAAAAATAATAGGGCTGGAGAGATGGCTTAGAGGTTAAGAGCATTGACTGCTCTTCCAGAGGTCCTGAGTTCAATTCCCAGCAACCACATGGTGGCTCACAACCATCTGTAATGAGATCTGGTGCCCTCTTCTGGCCTGCAGACATAGATGGAGGTTGAACCCTGTGTACATAATAAATAAATAAATCTTTAAAAAAAATAAAAATAATAAAGGTAGTTGAACGGTGGTGGCACACACATTTAATCCCAGCACTCAAGAGGCAAGAGATTGGTTGATCTCTCTGAGATTGAGGCCAGTGTGGTACATAAGAAGTTCTAAGCCAGCTGGAGCTACCCAGTGAAACCCTATCTCAAAAAAAAAATTAAATTACTGTATTTAATACATGGCATTCCAATTCAAAAAATGACATTCTTGTAGGACTGGTGGTGCATGCTGACAGACCCAAGACGAGAGCAGACTGATTTCTAGAAAGGGTAAACCCTGCTCTAGTCCTGAGGCCAGCAAAGGACCCTCTCCAGCAACCTGCTCTCCAGACTTCTTTACATCTGAGGGGTATTCAGTTTCTCCACTGGGTTGATAATATGGTTTCTCATGGGAAGAGTTCATTATGTTTCCAAAGGACTAAGCTGTCAGGTGGCTGTCACTGAATTTCAGTCAGCTCTCTCCACAGTAAGCTGGTCCCACCCTGAATGCATGAGCCTTTTCAAAGAACTGCTTTTTTATGGAAAAACCTCTGAACCACGAGACGAGATCACTCAAAATGGATCACTTCTTCACCTTGTACTCTCATGAGAATCTCTCTCCATCATTGCCCACATACTGTGAACTGAGAATCCTCGCTACAACCAGAGAGGCTCACACAAACCATCCGAGTTAATGTTTACAGAAAGAGCTGGGAAATCCAGGGGCTGGGGAGGTGGTTCAGTGGGTAAACTGCTTGCCTCAGAAGCATGAGGGCCTGAGTTCAGATCCCAGCATGGATAAAAGCTAGACGTTGGTGGGTACCTGTAACACTGGGCAGGGGAGGAGACAAGTTGTTAGCCAGTCAGTCTAGCCAAAAAACCAAAAGAGTTTCATGTTCAATGTGAAATCCCATCTCAAAAATAAGGTGGAGCTGGGTGGTGGTGGTGGATATCTTTAATCCCAGCACTGGGGAGGCCAGCCTGGTCTACAGAGTGAGATCCAGGATAGCCAGAGCTATATAGAAAAATCCAATCTCGAAAAAACAAACAAAATTAAGGTAAAAAGAAATAGATGATGAAACCCATGTTGACCTCTGCCAAAACACATGAATGCAAAAATTACATGCACACACTACACACACACAAAGGTGTGCACAAATACCTAGGCTGTATGAGACTAGTCCACAAGTACAAACAGGTGAACATTATCTATGCACCTATTACTCTACAGACACAGAAAGACTTACTTCATAACACTCTAGAGCAGTGGCTCTCAACCTTAACTCTTTAAAATAGTTCCTCATGTTGTGGTGACACCACCCCCCCACCGTAAAATTATTTCATTGCTACTTCGTAACTGTAATTTTGCTCCTGTTATAAAAGGCAATGTAAATATCTGATATACATGACATTGAATATGAGACCTCCAAAGGTCACGACCCACAGGTCAAGAACCGCTGCTCTAGAGGCAGCATGCATGCCCTTCCATTGCCCATACTCTTGTGGGGTTGCACGCAGACAAGCCACAACTTCTGACAGTGCAGGACTTTGCACAGTAGGGTTTCTGAATAGCAAGGAACATTCTTTCTGTCCCCAGATTTTATTGCCCTAGCCAACCTGCCATCGAAAGTCCCTGTCATATGCTTACGTGACAACTGGGACTGAGCAGGCAGAGAAGACGCTGAAATCTGTGGGGCTGCAGTCAGGGTCACAACAGCAGTTGACATCACACTGTGCTGGAAGCAGGTCACAGACACACAGAGCAGCAACTGAGGAAGAAAAACAGTGGGGGTCAGAGGACCACAGTAGGCAGGCTGTTACTGCTCCCTGCCACCAAAAGGTTCCAGAAGTCAATGTCAAAATGTCTGCTTCCTATTGTGCTTGGATGAAAGTCACCTGTGGACACCAGTGTCTCCCTGAGGTGACTGCAGATGCCTGCGCTCCTACTTCAGGGTAGAGTCCAAGGAAGGACTCTTGGCCACCTCATCCCTTTCCTTACATGTCCTGGTTGCTTTTTATCCTTAATTTTTTTCTTTTCTAACTTTTTTTTTTTTTTGCCTTGTCTATCTTGGAATTCACTCTGTGGACCAGGCTGGCCTCAAACCGGGAGATCTGCCTGCCTCTGCCTCCTGAGGCTGGAATTAACTGTTAGGATTAAAGGCTTTTTTGGCCAGTTGGTTTGAAACTATAAACTCCTAGTCATTAAGATCCTGACCAATAATCAACTGTTCCTATTTTGGCTTAAAATGTCTTTTTTTTTCTTTTTTCCTTTTTGAAACAGGGTTTTTCTATGTAGCCCTGGCTGTCCTGGAACTCACTCTATAGACCAGACTGACCTTGAACTCAGAGATCTGCCTGTCTCTGGGATTAAAGACATGTGCCACCACTGCCAGTCAAAATGTTCTTTAAAAATTTACAATATGAGGGGCTGGAGAGATGGCTCAGAGGTTAAGAGCACTGATTGTTCTCCCAGAGGTCCTGAGTTCAATTCCCAACAACCACCTGGTGGCTCACAACCATCTGTAATGAAATCTGGTGCCTCTTCTGGCCTGCAGGCATACATGCAGGTAGAACACTGTAAACAAAATAAATAAATCAAAAAAAATTTACAATATGGGGTAATAAATTTATGGCAGGATAATACAGCATGGAGGAAAAGCAGGAACCCACCCTGTAGCAACTGTGCCTGTGCCCACTCTGCTGGTCATCATGACTCCAGCGCTCCTCTCCCAGTCCCTTTAGCAGACGGAGAACCTGCACAAGCGCAGAAGAGAGCCTCCTCCAACAGTCTCTGAGAGCTCTGGGGGCTGAGAACTTGACACACTGTTTCAATTTATTCCTAATGTTATTGCTCTACTCATTCATTCTTGTCAAACTGAGAAAACCCTTTGAAACAGATAAAAGAGCCCAGAGAGAAGGCTGGGTGGCTAAGAGCACTCACTGGCTGCCCTTGCCGTGGATCTAACTTTGGTTCCTAGAACCCACTTGACAGCACACAACCAACTGTGACTCTGGTTCCAGGGCATTCAATGCCCTCTTCTGGCCTCAGGCACACTTACAACACACAGTATATATGCAGGCATAAGACAACATCCATCCACATAAGATAAAAATAAATAAATATTAAAAAACAAAACAATACCAGAACATGAAAATAACAAACTGAGGGGCTGGAGAGATGGCTCAGAGGTTAAGAGCATTGCCTGCTCTTCCAAAGGTCCTGAGTTCAATTCCCAGCAACCACATGGTGGCTCAGAACCATCTGTAATGAGATCTGGTGCCCTCTTCTGGCCTGCAGCATACACACACACAATATACAATATTGTATACATAATAAATAAATAAATATTTTTTTAAAAAAAGAAAAGAACAAACTGAATTCATGACACGGTCTATTGTGAGGAGGGAGGAAATAATAAATTCAGGGCTTCAGGTTTGTTTGTTTTTTGTTTTGTTTTGTTTTTGCTTATTGTTGCTATTCTGTGTTTTCCAAAACAAATGCTCACGTGGCCCAGGCTGGCCTCCTAATTGTCCCACCTCTATGTAGAAAATTCAGGATCACAGTTGTGTACTGTGATTCCTCCCCTCCCCCAGCTTGGGCATCACTGAATCTTAACTATAATATTTGTTTCCTTTTTTTTTTTTAGAAAATAATCTTAAGCTACAAACAAACAAAGGAAAGAATCTTAAGCTACAAACAAACAAATGCTTATAGGACGTCACACCAACATTCTTGACTGCCTGAATGAATGGTTTCACAATTAAAAGCCAGCTCTAGAGATGGGAGGCTCAATACCTCCCAGATGATGGGAGGCAGAGTCAAGAGGGTATGTGTGCAGGTTATAGGCCAGCCTGGGCCACTCAGCAAAACCATCAGGAAGGAAGCTGGGCAGGAAGGAGAAGGCGGGAAACTGGAAGGGTTTTAGAGCAGGCTGGAGATACGGTTCAGGAGCTAAAAGCATATACCACTTGTGTACAGAACCCAAGTTCAATCCCAGCACCAAAGTCAGGCAGCTCACAATCACCTAACCAAGCTCCAGGGGCTCTGAGGCCCTTTTCTGACCTCTGAAGACACCAGCACACATGTGTACATACTCACACAGAGATATACAAACATACACACATAATTTAAAATAAAATACTTTTTTATTTAAAGTTTTAGAATCCCCCCCCCCAAATGGTATAACATGCTTTGGAGAAGCATGAAGAGAAATGAAAGCTTATTGATAAATGCATAAGACTTTCTTAGTCCGAGGGACAAATGGACTCCCTCTAAAAAAGATTCTCTCTAGCCAAGGACACCTGCATATGCTCATTAACCAATACCAAAATTCCTGAACCGCGATGAGAAAATAAAGTGAGCAGTTAGGTCCGCTTCCTCGCATGTCTAAGATTGTAACCACGATTTGTTGTCAAAGCTTCGACCCTTGTAAGTACCTAGATGAGGATTAGACACATCGTGGGGTTGTGAGGATTAAATGAGTTCAGGCATGGTGATGTACTTGGCAGGGTGCCTGCTGCACAGCAGTTAATAAGTGAGACAGTTAAAAAGATGAAGTGCATATCTGTCCTTGGAACGCCGGTCCTGAACACGAGCTCAGGCACAGCTTCATCTGGGGGAGAAAAATCACTAATGGGTGCACTGACCTGGATTAACAACACTCCAGTTCAAAAACCTTAGAGAAGCCAGGTGGTGGTGGCACATGCCTTTAGTCCCAGCACTCAGGAGGCAGAGGCAAGTGGACTTTTGAGTTTGTGGCCAGCCTGCCAGTCTGGTCTACAGAGTGAGTTCCAGGACAGCCAGGGCTACACAGAGAAACCCTGTCTCAAAAAAAATAATTCCCCACAAAAAAGCCTTGTAGAATTTTAGACACATACACTTGGCTACATTATCCCCACATATAATGACAGGACTTCTCTGCTAATTCACAAGTCAGCAGGTGAAATATAAAGCAGAGAGTTTGATTCATATATTAAAGTATCAAGTGTATTTCTCATTTGTTTCCCCCCTTTGGTGCTGGGGATTGAACCCAGGGCCTCCTGCATGCTAAGCGAACACCCAACCAGTGACGCACACCACCCACCAGCCCTCGTACTTTTTCTCACAAACCAGTTTTCAAAGAAGGTCTCCAAGAAGAACGACCTGAAATTAGCTCGAAGAGTTCAGGACACCAGTCAAAGACAGCTCTGTCAGTTACCTATGCTCTCAGCCTTACTGGGTGAAAGATCTTTTTCTCTCAAACAGTAATAAAAAATCATACACACACTCTCTCAATCTGGATAAGACTGTCTAAAGTTCTTTTTTTGAAATTACAGCTCCATGGAGAACCTAAGGACTGCTACAATTCCTCATCCTAGAAAAATGTAGTTACAAAATTTTACAAACTCAAAGGGTTACAAAGCCCTGAAGTCACAGGTTTAAAGTCAGATTATAAAAAATTCACGGTTGGAGAGATGGCTCAGCGGTTAAGAGCACTGCCTGCTCTTCCAAAGGTCCTGAGTTCAATTCCCAGCAACCACATGGTGGCTCACAACCATCTGTAATGAGATCTGGTGCCCTTTTCTAGATTGCAGGCATGCAGTCAGGCAGAACACTATATACATAATAAATAAAATCGTTTAAAAAATTCACTAAACGTGTAATGCAAGATGAAAAGATCAGCTTCTGGGCTGGTGATATGTACAGATAAAGGCACTTACCAGCAGGCCTGGTAGCCATTTGGTTTAGGAGCAGCAAAATTCAAGCTGTCCTCTGACCTCCACATGCCATGGTATCTCGTCACCATACACATAAATAAGTGAATGTAATATTGTTTTTAAGTAACATCAGTTTCTGATGCATTCATTATCCATAAACACAAATCCTAATATCTGGGCCTAAGCCCTCACCTTACACTTTCCCACATCCAAACAACATATGAGGCAAGTTGAAATCAACAAAGAAGGGCCCTCCCTATTCATTCTAATTCTATTTCAGACCTTTGGCGTCTGAAATCTACGGACTGAAAAGTTCAGCAGAGTCTATGCGTTCATTTCCTCCACGTTCCAGAAACTATCTAATTTCATCTTCAGCTGGGCAAATTTATTCATTATAAACTTTGGCATTAACGTTGCCCGGGTCTACTGAAGTTTTCCAAGACCTGAGAGTGTCCCATTTAGGCCCCTCTGTCTTCCGCATTAGTGTGCTGGAGATCCCATCTCTCTTTCAGGGTTATGACAGGGAGGATAACAAGGATGGAACTTTGAGCGGTTATCATTTTCGTATCATTCTCACTAGTCTTTTACCCGCTCTAGGGAGTTAACACTCTGTACCCACCGTCCGTGACAGGGGTGGGCCTGGGGCCAGAGAGCTCCGGGGCCTTGGGAGTACCCGGGGTCCTAGGCGACCCGGAGGTTCTGAGAGTGGCTGGAGTGGTAGAGTTGAGATCCTCCTTTGTCATGTCTGGGGTGGTGGCCTCGGTGGAGTTGAGGTCCTTCTTCGTCATGGCTGGGGTGGTCTCGGTGAAGTTGAGGTCCTCCTGCGTCATGACTGGGGTGGCCACAGCCGGGGTGGCCACGGCCTGGGTGCTCGCTGAAACGCAGCAGCTCAGGAGCACCAACAGAAGCGGCGGGAAGCCCCGCGATCCCATGGCGGAGCACTGCATCCAGGCCTGTGAGTTGCCACCAGGCCTGTGAGTTGCCAGGCAACGGCCACAGCCGAGCGCCAGGTATCACGGGAAAGGGCTCCGGAGGCCAGGAAAGTCTGAAGGAGGAGGTGGGGCCTAGGGCCAGGCCAGTGGGGATAGGCTTAAAGCCCAAGGATCCCGTAAGGAGGCGGGGCTAGGGACGGAGACTACGCCGCGCCGGGAAGGACGGGACTGAGTGGGCGTTGCAGGGGCGGGGCCACGACCCACCGGGGCGGAGCCTGAGGCTGCTCTTTCGAAGGAACTTTGTTGGGAGACCGTGCGGGTCGAATGGCAGTTTCATTAAAAATGTAGAATCCCAGCTACAGCCTCATGGTATTTAGAGTCAGGCAACTCTAAACAGAACCTAGAAATGAGTATTTCTAATAAAAAATCCGCTGCTGATGGGGGAGGGAAATTTAGAAGCGACTTGGGACCTTCGAAGTAATATGGAGGTCAGTCATCTCCAACACTCTTGAACTCCCTACCCCAGGGCATTGCCTTCTTTGCCTATAGATACATCGCAGGAGGTCACCAGACTGCTCTAGCCACGTATTTATGATGAAGGAACAAAAGAACCTTTCATTTATTTTTTTATTTTATTTTATTTTTTGGTTTAGACTGGCTCTCGCTGTGTAGCCCGGACTGAATTCGAACTCATGACAATCCTGCCTCAGTCTCCAATGACAGGCATGTGCCACCACATCCAACCTCCATTTCTGCCTTTGATTGATCATATGACTTGGGAGGTTTCCTTCAAACCTTCTTTTTTCAAAAAGTTTATTTATTTATATATTTTATGTATATGAGTGCTTTGTCCATATGCATGCACACCAGAAGAGGGCAGCAGAACTTGTGAAACTAGAGTCATAGACAGTTGTGATCCACCATGTAGATGCTGGGAATTGAACTCAAGACCTCTGGAAGAGCAGCCAATGCTCTAAATGGCTGAGTCATCTCTCCAGCCCCTCCTCAAGTCTTTTTTATTTTATTTATTTATTTTATTTTTATTTTTGGAGACAGGGTTTCTCTGTGAAACAGTCCTGACTGTCCTGGAATTTGCTCTGTAGACCAGGCTGGTCTTGAACAAACTCACAGAGACCCACCTGCCTCTGCTTCCCAAATGTTGGGATTAAAGGTGTGCACCACCACCATCTGGCTCTCAAGTCCTTTTGGGAGGGGGTGGGGGTTGAGGCAGGGATTCTCTGCAGCTTTGGAGCCTGTCCTGGAACTCGCTCTGTAGACTAGGCTGGCCTCAAACTCACGGAGATTCGCCTGCCTCTGCCTCCCGAGTGCTGGGATTAAAGGCATGTGCCACCACTGCCTGACTTCTCCTCAAATCTTAAAGCCCATGCGTCCAAACATTCTGTGAAAAGTCCTCAAAGTCCTCTTGTCCAATTGCAATTCCTGATGAACTCAATGTAATTTTTTGACATTTGACTTCTTTAAAAGTCAAAATATGGGTTGCATCTGCTCCTACATTTTGCAAGCCTTAGGGAAAATGGTGACCATTTCTGTTAGACTACTTTTTTTAAATCACAGTTCCATATTTTGCCCAAAACGCTGGTATGTGGGTTACCTAAACTGTCCACCTAGGAGCTGGAGAGATGACTCAGCAGCTAGGAACACTTGCTCTTGCAGAGGACCAGGTTTCAGTTCCCAGCACCTACATGGTGTCTCACTGCTGTGGAACAATTTTTGTATACTGTAAGTATATATTACTGTCATTGGTAATAAATAGCTGACTGGCCTATTGCTGGGCAGGAGAGATTGGGTGGGAGAGTCAGACTAGGAGAATTCTGGGAAGAAGAGGACAGAGTCAGGAGAGTAGCTACAAGAAGCAGAGAGAGTTAGACATACTGGAGAACAAGTAAAGCCATGAGCTACATGGCAGCACATAAATTAATAGAAATGGATTGATTTAAGTTGTAAGAGCTAGTTAGTAATAAGCCTGAGCTATCAGCTGAGCATTTATAAATATTAAGTATCTGCTTTGGTTATTTTGGAACTGGTGGGCCAGAAAGGAAAGTTCACCTACACCTTACAACCTCTGCAGCTCCAGCTCTAAAGGATGCAAAACCTCTTCTGGCCCTGTGGGCACCTGCATGCATGTGTGCACCCACAAGTAAAAGAGCAAATCTAAATGTGACATTTCGACTATTCAAAACTAAGTAGGGGGCTGGAGAGATGGCTCAATGGTTAAGAACATTGCCTACTCTTTCAGAGGTCCTGAGTTCAATTCCCAGCAACCACATGATGGCTCACAACCATCTATAATGAGGTCTGGCACCCTCTTTTGGTCTGCAGGCATACAGGCAGACAGAACGTTCTAAACATAATAAATAAGTAAATAAATAAATAAATAAATAAATAAATAAATAAAAACTAAATAAAAATAGCCAGTAAATCCACCTATGCTGGAGTTTCTTCCAATCCAACATTGTTATTAACAACAAGTATTCCAAAACTCAATGTATTGCAGTTGCTCATCCATTTATTGGATTTGTTTGTTTGGTTTATTTTCAGTTTTCAATGATTTAAAAAATATTTGTTTGTTTTTCCAGACAGGATTTCTTTGTGTATCTTTGGAGTCTGTCCTGGAACTCACTCTGTAGACTAGGCTGACCTCAAAATTAGAGATCCACTTGCCTCTGCCTGCCGAGTGCTGGGATTAAAGGCATGTGCTTTAATCCCACTGCTTGGCTTCAATGATTTCCATAAAGCCACTCTAACAGGTTCAATACAGACTTTAAGTGGGCATATGCTTTCATTTCTCTTGAGTGCCCTTCCTAGGGGTGTGTTCTAATGGCCATGTGTGTTGGAAGTTTATAAGAAACTGCCCAACTTTTCTCCAGAGCGACTTCCCAGTTTGTCCCCCACCTGTATGTTAGCTCCTGTTTCACAAGCTCTTGAAACACTGGGAGTTGAGGTCTACTCAATTTTATTTCTATTTTTGTTTTTTGGTTTTTCGTTTTGTTTTATTTTTGCTAACTTGAAAGGTCATTGCTGTTATCTCATTGCTGGTTAATTAGTTGGCTTTTTTGTTTGTTTGTTTGTTTGTTTAAAGACAGGATCTCTCACACAGCACAGACTGGCCTGAAAGTCAGTGTATAAGTAAGAATGACCTTGAACTTCTGGTCTTCCTGCCCCCACCTCCCCAGTGAAAGCGATAGCAGGTGCATGTCACCACACCCAGTGTATATGACACCAGAGATAAACCTAGGGCTTCCTGTGCACTAAATAAGCACACTATAAATTGAACCATATTCCAAGCTGCTGTTTGTTTAGTGTGTGTGTGTGTGTGTGTGTGTGTGTGTGTGTGTGTGTGTGAGAGAGAGAGAGAGAGAGAGAGAGAGAAAGTCTTACTGTGTAGCTCTCATCCTTTCTGAACCAGCCTTCCTGGTGATGGACCTGCAGGTGTATGTATCTTCAACCTAGCTTCAGTTGACGTGAAGTGCCATGTTAACTTTGTAGTTTAATGTTGAGGTACCAAAAGCACCCAGAGTCTGAGGCCAGGTGTCATCTCACACTTGGAAGGCTCAGGCAGGAGGATGGTCTGAAGTTCAAGGCAGTCCCTAAGCTACATGGAAAGTGTTTGTCTGAAAGGAAGGAAAAAAAGGAAAGGAAAGAAGGTACATACAATTGCAGTACTCAGGAGGCAAAGACAGGAAGACCCAGAGTTCAAGGCCAGCTTCAGCTGCATAGCAAGGCCAAAGCTAAGTCTGGACAGACTTAAATGCAAAATTAAGACTGGAGAGATGACTCCATGGGTAAGGATGCTTGTAGAAGATTGGGATTTGAGTCCTAGCACCCACTTCAGGCAACTCAGAACTGCCTGCAAATCTAGCTTAGGAGATCGGACTCCCTCTTCTTGTCTCTTTGTGAACCTGCATTCACATGTACATATACACACACAGAGATATACATGTATACATAATTAATAAATCCTTAAAAGAAATCATATAAAATGCATTATTAATGGGCCACTGTGGAGTTTATTAAAAGCCAGGCATGGTGGTAAGTACCTGTAGTCCCAGCACTCAGGATCCCAAAGCAGGCAAGTTCAAGGCCATTGTGGGCCATATAGTGAGACCCCCATCTCAAAGACAAGTAGTCACAAATGCCCCAGAACTCTGATCCAAATGAACATCTTTACAATTAAAGAGAAAAAAATTAACAAATACAAAACAGGATAATAAATCTTCCCCCCCCCCCCCGAGACAGGATTTCTCTGCGGCTTTGCAGCCTGTCCTGAAACTCACTTTGTAGACCGGGATGGCCTCGAACTCACAGAGATCTGCCTACTTCTGCCTCCTAAGTGCTTGAATTAAACGCATGTGCCACCACTGTCCAGCAAGGATAATAAATCTTGGGTCCCGAGTTTGCAGATGTCCCTCGATACTGGGTTTTGGTCCCTATATCACCCCAGGAGTCTTTCTGGGGTTCATCAGCTCCAGCTAGCTTATTGCTCAGCAATTCCTTCAGCAACACTTGGGGTTTTACCACTCAGCAAGACCATTGGTCCTGTCTTTCAAGAAGTACCTGGATGTCTGGTGAGCAGTGTCTCCCATCTTCTGTGTGTCTTCACCTTTTCACCCCTTTGTCATCAGTTTAGGAGCGTGTCTCTGGAGACTGTCAGCCGTGGACTGTCTACCGGGTTTCTGTGTTTTAGGGAACATCCTGTGTCAGGCATGGAGAGGCAGAAGAAGGATGGAAAGAGCACATTCTAAGAGCAGAAGGCTGAGGTGGGGAGCACATGGCAAGCATCTCTCTACCTTCTGATAGATAGGTATCTATCTGAAACCTTCTGTCAGATTCTGCTGTGAATCTAAATTGCTCTTAAAAATGTTAAAGATCAGACACAGGCTGGGCATGGGGCACACTTCTTTAATCCTTGCACTCAGGGCTGGGAGGCAGAGGCAGATGGTCTCCCCGAAAATTATTCAGTTGAGCATTGTTAGTTTGAGGCAGAGCCTTAACTGGGATTCTCCCTCAGAAATAAAATGCTTCTTTTCATACATACACATTTTTAAAAATCTGTAAAAGACACTATTTACTATAACTTTTGTAGAGGCCAACATTGTCTACATAG